GGCAGTCCGGAGAATCAATGACCCTCAAACCGATGCGCCACGTGCCATCCATGCACAGGAACTGCCCCCCATACTGCGAGTGAGTGGATTCGCGTTGCATGTGCTCCTTGTTGTCCTGTGGATGACGACAGAACGCAAAACGCAAAACCGGATGCACCAATGCATTTTCGTAGCTCTCGGCCTTGCTCGCCTGCGACCAGGATCCTACGATACGTCTTCTTCATGTTCAGTGGAGCAAGCAACAGCAATCACATGGGGCGGATGACCAACGAGTTTTCAGTGGCGCCACTCTTATCACAGCGAAAATCAAGGAGGACAATCAGAGTGCAACCCAGCTGCCCAAACACATCACGATCGAAAAAGAAACGGTACCGCTTTCAGCTTAGGGTTGCACCTGCAGATCGCCCTCCGTCGCCCTCACTTGGTCCAGAAGAGTCTCTGACGTGCCATTTTGCCTAAAGTAGCGAAAAGGCAATGGCGAGACAATCTCCTCAGGTGGCAACTGCATGTACCTGCCCAATTTCAGTGGTCAAGTGACCGAGCGAGAACATGTAAGCATTGGCGATCCTTGTGCGTGTAATTTTCGCACTGCAATGCGATGCCAAGATTGAAGCTAAAAACTACACGCTTAAATAAAATCATCACCGTACCTGTCGTCCATTGTGGTAAAGGAACCGCCGTTTGGGCAATGCTCGCGGATGGTGGCCTCGTCCCACCCGTCATCCGCAATAACCACTTTTTTTTTGTTGGCCGCCTTCTTGGCACTTTCCAAGACGAGAGGGCACCCTGAGGCCGTGCAGGAATACCTGCCCGCCAACGGAACCACCACCCTGCCAACGTCGGGTACCGCGCGTATCTGCCGTAAAAAGACGGCTAATTTCAAAGAGAAGAATACGGAGAAAGACGGCATTCAGAACGTGTCGGAAATGAGAAGGGCGGAAAGACTACGCGCGCATGTTCTTACAACATATTACTCTTCCGGGACTACCGAGATAAACGGACGGCTCACAAGCAACAGAGACAACAACCAACAGCGAACCAAAACAAACAGGAGCCACTCTTATCACAGCGAAAATCAAGGAGGACAATCAGAGTGCAACCCAGCTGCCCGAACACATCACGATCGAAAAAGAAACGGTACCGCTTTCAGCTTAGGGTTTCACCTGCAGATCGCCCTCCGTCGCCCTCACTTGGTCCAGTAGAGTCTCTGACGTGCCATTTTGCCTAAAGTAGCGAAAAGGCAATCGCGAGACAATCTCCTCAGGTAGCAAGTGCATGTACCTGCCCAATTTCAGTGGTCAAGTGACCCAGCGAGAACATGTAAGTATGCGTTGGCGATCCTTGTGCGTGTAATTTTCGCACTGCAATGCGATGCCAAGATTGAAGCTAAATACTACTACACGCTGAAATAAAATCATCACCGTACCTGTCGTCCATTGTGGTAAAGAAACCGCCGTTTGGGCAATGCTCGCGGATGGTGGCCTCGTCCCACTCGTCATCCGCAATAACCACTTTTTTTGTGTTGGCCGGCTTTTTGGCACTTTCCAAGACGAGAGGGCACCCTGAGGCCGTGCAGGAATACCTGCCCGCCAACGGAACCACCACCCTGCCAACGTCGGGTACCGCGCGTATCTGCCGTAAAAAGACGGCTAATTTCAAAGAGAAGAATACGGAGAAAGACTGCATTCAGAACGTGTCGGAAATGAGAAGGGCGGAAAGACTAAGCGCGCATGTTCTTACAACATATTACTCTTCCGGGACTACCGAGATAAACGGACGGCTCACAAGCAACAGAGACAACAACCAACAGCGAACCAAAACAAACAGGAAATCAAGTCGAAAAACAAGTTCATACCGCAAACGTTCTGATTGCCTTTTGAGCACCCGCATTTGGGAAGTCATGCCCTGATACTCAGAAGGTTTCACTTCCGAGTTCGATTTGCATCCTGGACAGATCATCCTGACTCCCTTCGCCCCGCCGGGGGTTGTCACCTGAAAAGAAATCAACACAGGGGGAGAGGGCTCTTTACGTCAGGCCTTGTTCCGATGCTCGTTTCTGTTCAGGCGGTGTCCCTTGTGTGAGGTGAGAGGGCTAATCACGGACAGAGACTCTTGAGTGCGACGGCGGCAGGTCTCATCAAGAGCAAAGCTTCACACCCACAAAACAGAGTTCGGCGCTTTCTGTCAAAACTTCTGAAGGTTCCCGTTATGCAAACTTTAAATAGGAGTTGTGGGCTTGCCGCAGCGGAAGGGAGGGGGGCATACCGACCAACAACGTCGACATTGGCATGAGCTGATAGATCATGAGCGTGCGCAACACTGTAATCCGTGACAACCAAAATGCACTATTATCAACAGGAAACTAGTCACAACAACAATTTGAATGTGCGACGACTTTTTGTGTTTGTTTTTCATCTTTCAGCACGCACCTTCGGCACGCAGGCGCAACATCTTACAAAGGCCAAAAGAGTCGGGTACCGTCATCGGCTCCTTCGCTCATTCATGCACGTGCCTGGATAGCTGGAATGCCGACCAATTCTTCCAAGAAGACCACCTCGTGCACGTAGAGAGCGAACACAACTTGTGTCGTCGCGAAAACGGCCATGGCCGACTCCTTCAAAAGCACATCAATGATCTCTCCGTTCTCGACCCGGGTACTCATCGCTGGTGTCACTTTCGCCGCTTTCATCGCCGCAGCGGCGCGCTTCTCCGGGCTGTCTGCGGGCCGGCATATCGGGGCGTCAGGGAAACGTCGATAAATCGCTGCCGCTACA